TTAAAATTATGGCCGTTCAAAAATGCAGTTTTGTGCAATTTTTGTCAAGTTTTCTTCCAATTTGTATCACATAATCATCTATGAAACAATGAACAGCTGTTCGGATCAAGATTATTTTTTCTAGCTGTCACTGAAATGTTTACAAATATTGTTTACAAACACCACAACCATTTCCGATCACGTTTTGAAGGCAAATCCCATCCAAGTGAGATTAAAAACGTTTTTATTACATAAAGGATTTAATTAATCGCAAGTGGAATAATGTAGTGTAACCGTAAATTAAATAACTAGGCATCATCCAGGTCAGGAACCAGAAATATGTGTATAAAATTGTTTTGGAGTTTTGATAACCAGAAAGAAGACATTGAATCAAGATTGAATCAGTGTTGTATACGGCTGGGAAACTTAAATTTACTAATGACCGTCGCCAATAGCTTAGAAACAATGTTCCACTCATTGACGGCTCTTCAATGGTGGTTGTGTAAAGTGTAAAGCAAAAATTACAACTGCAGTGGGTGATTGTAACAGAGGTTTACGGATGATTCTGAACTCGATTTTCCAATGTGTCACTTTCTGTTCCTACCATTGACTATATAAAGTCAATAGTTCCTACTCACCGTGTGATGCAATCGCTGGACCATAGAGCCAATAGGCCCATAGCCCTTCTCTTGGGTACGTGTGGTACGTATGCTTACCCAATTAGTTATAACAACCCTTTCGACAACGATCCTTGATACCGGTACTTTTCCATAGAATACACGGCCTACCTAGGTACTTAAGAAATAAAATTATAAACGTCCAAAAACCCAACGTTGTGTGATTTTTGTCACATTTCCTTATAATGTTAATATATATACCAGCAACCATTGTTTATAGAATACGTAATCTATTAAATAACAGAAAGTTATGTTGTATAAGGTTTTTTTTTTCAAACTGACACCGATAAGTTTACATTAAGAGTTGTGTACAAATAAAGCAATTAATGGGAAATAACTTTGATTGCCGATAACTTTTAACGAGAAAATCCAAAACCAAGAGATCAATAACCTTGATTAACGCATATAATTGGTCGGCTGTACTACAGTTCTTAACTGTAAACGTTGGTTTTTGGTATGGCACTGGTTCTTTTCCTTTTAACCTTTAGTAGCAGCAAGAATCATTTTTACGTACCAACACATCACAGTAATTTACAAATTAGTTATCGTTGGTGTTTCACCTTATTTATTACAGGCTTAGGCCTATTCAATTTAATTGATGTCTTAACTGTATAATTTTTGCTTTTTCTGTCTGGATTCCAAAATGTTATGCTAAGAAAACTATAACGCATTTTAGTAAAACATTTATTCAGCAAACCATCATGAATTGTTCAAACACTTTGAACGTTGTTTATGTATCAATAGTTCGTGGCCTATTTTGGTAATTTTTATTACAAATTACCAATCTAAATCGTCTATAGTAAGCCTACTGTACTTCATTTCATATAGCAAACCGATTCAGATAGCATTTCAACAGAATTTCGAGTCATCTCCGGTCCAAGCAAATATAAATTCTTATGATCAAATTTTATGGCATTAACAAAGATTTCAAGTACTAATTTTATATGTACCTTTTTATGCTTAAAGCGTAGCAGATTCCCTAATTAAGTTCGGTATTTTTGTGTGTATGTATGATGGTAACGCATTAATGTCCTTGTTTCTCAATGTTTCACGGAAAGGACAAGAGCGCCTTGATAATGAAAATGTCAACCCGAATAAAGTCTTAAATTAAGAGGTTGAGGTAGTACCTTAAATACTTTTAACCATTATGTTATAGTCCTTTAAATTCTGAACAAAATAGTACAAATCCCATTTCCGTATATTTACTCTCACCGCTTACACATGATAAAGGTTGTTGACAAACTTATGGGAGAAAGTATGTGTCAGAATGCTGATACATAGTCATTGGATATAACATATGGACCAACAATATCCGGGTGACATTTAATTGCGAAGCATTAGTTTTGGCTTGAAACTGTCAGATACTGTATTTGCGAAGGAATAGTTTTGTCAGCATATCTGAAAGTATGCAAACCAACTGCTGTGCTTTATATAAGAAGGTTTTAACTGACTATGATAAGATCCCCGTGCGTAGAACGGGCACACAGCTAGTATATATATATATTTACAACGTCATCTATCTATAATATTAAAACGAAACAGTGTTTTTTTATTTCACGATTCTGAATCAACCACTCGACGGATAATTTTGAGAACTAGGGAATGTCGAAGCCATAATTTTAGTTTTGGGTCCCAGTTTTTTTGAAATTAAGTTTTAATTTTTAAAAAGTCTAGCAGCCGACGCTAAGATTCTAAACTAGCGTTTGGCATAAAATAATTTGCTTAACATAACAGCTGTAAACATTCAGCTTTTGTGTCACAAATTCAGCATTTGGATAAAAATGTAAAGACATACTTAGGGTTGACTTATTTATACTATGTGTAATGCTAATCATTGATACGTTCAATTCTTCTGTAAGAGGATGACAGATTAATTTAATATACATAGTAAAATACTAGGATGTTCAAATTATTTTTTAAAGCAATCTTTGTAATCTTCGATTTGTTTTAGAGCAATATAATTTGTTTTAACTAACAGCTGGTTAGTTATAAAAAAACCCTATAGAACTATGAGGTTATTTACTCTGATTTTGTCATTGATTATAGGAAATAGGCCTAAGTAAGATTAGTAGACCACCGAGATAAGTAACACCATCGATGTGTACAAGTCGAGGCTCTGTACACAAGTTAAATAAAAAAGATATGTAAATTATTTTACTGTTAAAATTTTTGGAAAGGGTAGGAAAATCACAATTTTTACATGTTTTAATTCATCTTGGCAGCTTTTTGTTTACAATCAATGTTTTTGAATGCTTGAACTTTGTTTGGATTAGGCCCGGAAATATTGATGTCATAAAGATGGAGATCAAGAATCCTCAGGATTAAATTACCACCACATCCTCAGACGGGTGTTATCCAAAGATATACAGATGAATGACATAGATTGAACACAACGTCATCATTGACCTAGGATACTGCAAAACCATCCTTTTATGAAATCTAAAAAAGTTGTTTGGCGTGTGTTTAGTTGTGGTTACGTTTGTAGGCGCTGAATATTTTATAGTTTAAATAAATGAATATGGGGAATTACGATGTACATTGATTCAATGAGGGTGGTTTAATTATCAAGGATGTTGGAACTGATAACGGAATGGATAATAAACATAGACAATTAATTACGTCACTAGCTTTACTAGCGTTTTTACTTTTTAAATTCCTTCAACATGTGACCAGTTCTTTTGTTCAAATGAATATTATTTTTGACTCAGCTGTTTACAAAACAAACTAATATGTTGTTGTGTTTACTTTTCTTTGTTTACACTTATTTATTTAGCAATTGATGCAGTGAAATTGACATAAAGGATGTGTGTGGACAATTCGTTTAATGATGTCAGGACACCAACGTTATAATTATGTGTACTGTGAATTTTATTGGATGTTTTCGTTTTATTTTAGTGAGTTACAATTCAGACCTACTGGAAATGGTGTATAGTATGAGTAATTGTATTGTGTGGTGATATTGATTATGGAAGAGGTAGGTATATGCTATGGAAGGTGATATCATTGACTAGGCCTATACACTTCTCAATTGATATTACTCTTTCTACTGTAGGCTGCAATAAAATTTGTCTTTATACATGTAAACTAGCTGTTCTGAATTATAGGCCTGACCGTTTTAACTGACTTCTCCCGTACGTAGGACGGGCTAACACCTCGTATATACAGGGTGATTGATATAAGTGTGCCAGCCGTTTTATTCGAAAACTATAATAGATATCAAAATAAGTTAAATGGTAAGTGCCTTGGATTTTTTATTTAAAAATTGTAGTCAAGTCAAAAAAATTATTTTAGCCGCCATTTTTCCAATATGGCCGCCAACTTTGATTTTTCTTACGGAACACCCTGTATTTTATGATGTATTCTGGTAGGAAATGTAATTTTAAGACGATTTTATTCTTGTGATTTTTTTCATAAACCTAACCGTTTCATAGATAATACTGGTTAAAGTTTTGAAATTTCTGCATGAGAAAGAATTTCGATAAAGGCCTAAGCAAGCATGCCAGCTGTTTTATTAGAAATCCATTGAAAATTTCACAACTTAAACCATTATTATCTTTGAAACGGTGAGGTTTATGAAAAAAATTACAAGAATAAAATCGTATTAAAATTACATTTCCTACCAGAACACATCATAAAATACAGGGTGTTCCGTAAGAAAAATCAAAGTTGGCGGCTATATTGGTAAAATGGCGGCTAAAATAATTTTTTTGGCTTTGACTACAATTTTTAAAATAAAAAATCCAAGGCACTTACCATTTAACTTTTTTTGATATCTCTTATGGTTTTCGAATAAAACGGCTGGCACACTTATATCAATCACCCTGTATATATTTACAATTAGATATATATATATATTCAAATAAAGGAAAAACAAATTAATATTTGATGAAATATGTTTTTTTAAATAAACGGTATCTAGCATACTGATACATTCTTCCTTTAGCTTATCAAACACCCTTATCGTGGGGTCAACGGTGGGAGTAACTACCTGTTATTTCATAGGTAAGTTATAATCCCAAAAATTAAAATAACCTTCAAACAGTAATGTTCACATCGTTGGTAATTGTTCTATGTTGTTGGATTAAAAATAACTATAACATACTAAATTTTAACCACAATTGGTTGAGCCACTTTCGTGAAAATCGGATTTTTAAAGGATACAATAAAGTAAATATAAAGCAGAAAAGATAATAAATAAAAAGAAACAAGAGTCCGAGGCAGAATAGATTATTCAATTCGTTGCTGAGCCTATATTTATTAAAATTACTGTACAGCTTAATTTACCGTAGAACCATTAAATTAGCAACACTTGTTTGTACAGCTTTACGTTTATGAACTTTACGTTAGCTACGTTAATGAGATTAACAGTGTGTGCAATTCACAAACTGAAACCTACCATTCGTCGTTGAACAAGCTTGTGAAGAAGTACATCGGAATTTTATTCAAGAATGGACATCTTATATGTATTGCTTGTAATTGTAAGTACTGTCCTCCCGAGTTTTAATATTTTGGTTAGTTTCTGATTATTTCGTGAGTTTAGCAATCTGCACTGTATTGGATTTTTACAGACTAAAGTTGGTCATCTACTTTAGGGAACGGAGGGGCGAGCGACTACTAATTTTAAACTTGGAAATGTTATTTATTCTTTTGTAGAAATCCATACTAACAAATGATTGTGCAAAATTAAAAATAAGCCAATAAATAACCCAGTTTGTTTAAATATTTATCTTATTACTTCTGGTTATTAAAAGCTTGATGACATGAGGTCAAACACAATGCGATGATTGCAATTGGATTAGAGATTCTGACGATGATTGGAGGACCAGATAAAAAATGCACATTAGAACTACTTAAACAAAATAATAACGTTGTTAGTGATCTTGAATTACTTTCTATAGGTTACATTAGGTAATATTACATAGTTATCGTCTGAATTTGAAGTCGCTATTCATTAGTAGGAATATAGTGGGCGAGAATTCTAGTAAACCACAGTTTTATCAGTCACACCGATCTTTATTGGTCTATACCAATTTAAACATATCCCATACGTATTTACTGATATTTAAACATTTACCATACGTCAACATTGCTATAAATACATATTACCAACCAAGAGGTCTTTTAAAAACGTTTACAGTCTATATTGATGGGATGAAACATTCTGAACCTATACGTTGCATCAGATATTTATGAGAACGTCACATAATTTGTTTTTAATTGTTGCATGTATATTAGTTTGTTTATTTATTACAGGTTATGGATGCTTATATTTTGCCTGCTGTAAAAGCTAGTGTGAGTAATATTTTAATACTAGTGAACCCGTAAGGCTTAAAACGCCGCAAGGTAACATATGAATTTAGAAAACAAAATCATCGTGTTATATATTGACTCTATGTCGAAAATAAAATAAAAGCCTTATAAGGAAAGCAGTCCAGCCATTGTCTAGCTGTATGTGTCTTATATTTAGTAAATTAATAAGTTTTTAAGTACGTTTTAGTATTTTTTTATACATTTTAAAAAGCATTTTAATAAAACATATACAACCGATGTGTAGCATATTTGAAGGAAATTAAAATGCTGCTTGAAGAAACCTCTTTAAAATGAACACTAAAACACAAATATTTTAATCACAAAATTACTGCCTTGAATAGGCCTATTAATTTTTTTGTCGTAAAGCCACCTTCCGGTAGACTACTATGGTTAGAAATGTATCCTTACTTATCCTTTCTTTATCCTTACTCGTATGATGACCACTGACTAGACTATGATGTTTCTATGAATGAATAAAGTGAACATTCCTCTCAGAAAAATATAAATGCATTTGATTAAACAATGTTCTACGACCGTTTGTTTGGTTGGCACACCTGATTGTTATCATAAATCAAATTTTTTAGTAGAAATTAAACAAATTATAGTTTGACTAGTGCCTTGTAGGGACATAAGTCCGCAAAAGCTCGATAGTAAAAAACAAATTATTTTAATATTCAAACAAACTCAGAAATATATTATCTGGGGCAGAATATAAATATCCCTATACACAAAATATTTTGTGTAAAAACAGTTTGTTGTTTGTCTTTGTTTGCTTTTGTTGATGTTATTTTCAATAAATAATTTAAATCACTCCGTAGATTTCAATCTGCTGAAGGCATCAAACATATAATTGTTTGTGAATAAATACAGGTATTTGAAAATTTTAAAAACTAACAAATGGATGATTAATTTTATAAAATATCTATATAATTTTACTGATTCAATATTATTCAATTACAAGTGTTTGGGTCCCTAAACAAGTAAATAATATTGAATCAACAAACACTTATTGATGTTTTGTATTAAAAAGAGTAAATTGTAATTCCACCTAAATATTGTTTCAGAATACAGACTATAAAATTAGTACCGTAAGCTCTAACGTTGTTGGTGGGTTTACCGGAGGACTCTACTGGGATGGTGAACATAATCGTCTATACTGGCTAGAAATTGGTCACGGTGATGATCCGACGTCTATCGTCTGCTACGATCCAAACACAGAGAAGACCTACAAGGCTACAATTATAGGTAGGGATCCAAAAACAAGTAAATATAGAAATAAATCTAAGTCGGTAATTAGATGTGTTTGAGATTCGTCCGACTTATATTAATTAAATACCAAGTCTTCGAGCCATTCCCAATGGTGTTTTTTAATGGTCAAAATAAAACTAAAAGACATGAAATTGACAACATTCTTATATTGCAATACAAATGTATTACTTATTGCATTAATAATACTACTGTAACGTAAACATATAGAATGGTGCAACAATATTAGAAATATTTTTTTTATTTCAATTCAAAGCACTCATACATTATCGTTTTTCAATATTATTTGCGAAACCATTGAGAAAAAAACATGCCAAGTAACATAACACAGCTAACTAAAAATAGAAAATAATGAAAATATATACACCTTTAATAATCAAAGAGGTTTGGTTTTCATCACATAAAACTTCCACCCTTCATATTACGATGGTATATTTCATAACTATTATTTTACTACCAATATTTATACTAAGATCACTAATTACAGAAACTCGTAACAAACTAAGAGTGTGCTGAAGATCCAAGAAATTAATAACTACCCCTGTAAACTAGCGGACTGAGCGAATTTGCATTTACCAGACTAGATTTTTGCTAAACATTCCCTTATGTTGTCACGTTTTGTCGAATTTGAATAAAATTTGTTTTAAAGAATTACTTGTTTTGCTGCAACATGGAAGTTAATAACGTTAATTTTTATTGAAACATTAACACACTTTATAATGCCCCATGAAGTGACACCTCTTTCAAAGGCATCAGTTGAAAAGAATCTCGGTAAAAACTAGAGGTCCCTATCTCAACCCAATACAAAATTATGTCAATTTTTAGTTTTTACCAACCTCAGCGACCCCACATAAAATACTCAAAAGAGGGCAGTTCAAAAATGTTAAATGTAATGCCTGAAAATTAAAAACTGCCACCATTTTGTATTGATTTGAGGTAGAGACCTCTGGTTTTCGCCGAGATTCTTTTCAACTGAAGACCTTCAAAATGATGTGTCACTTGATGGGGCCTTATATTTAAAAACTTTGAGCTGCCCCCAAAATACCTCATTTTGGGATCCGGACAAAACTGTCCTACTGTTTAAAAAGGTAGTTTCTACTTTATTGTTACAGTATTATTACTGTAATATATTACTGTAATGTGAGATTAGTTTCTCTGGTACAACATACAGGGTGATTGATATAAGTGTGCCAGCCGTTTTATTCGAAAACTATAAGAGATATCAAAAAAAGTTAAATGGTAAGTGCCTTGGATTTTTTATTTAAAAAATTATAGTCAAAAGTCAAAAAAATTATTTTAGCCGCCAATTTTCCAATATGGCCGCCAACTTTGATTTTTCTTATGGAACCCCTGTATTTTATGATGTATTCTGGTAGAAAAAGTAATTTTAAGACGATTTTATTCTTGTGATTTTTTTCATAAACCTAACCGTTTTAAAGATAATAATGGTTAAAGTTTTGAAATTTCTGCATGAGAAAGAGTTTCGATAAAGGCCTAAGCAAGCATGCCAGCTGTTTTGCTCGAAAACCATTCAAAATTTCACAACTTAAACCATTATTATCTTTGAAACAGTTAGGTTTATGAAAAAAATCACAAGAATAAAATTGTCTTAAAATTACTTTTTCTACCAGAATGCATCATAAAATACAGGGTGTTCCATAAGAAAAATCAAAGTTGGCAGCCATATTGGAAAAATGGTGGCTAAAATAATTTTTTTGACTTGACTATAATTTTTTTAATAAAAAATCCAAGGCACTTAACATTTAACTTTTTTTTATATCTCTTATAGTTTTCGAATAAAACGGCTGGCACACTTATATCAATCACCCTGTATAAAACGCTAATAGGGGATATAGGTGTATATTTTTACATGGGCTCTCTCATGCTGATGAAATACAATAGGTTGGGATAGAGACGTCTGTTTTTCGCCACATTCTTTCAAACTAATGGTCTTTAAATTGGTGTGTACTTGATAGGGGTTGCTATTTAAAAATTGTAAGTTACCCCCAGCTATTTGGAGTTGGGGGTGAATTTCAAAATAACCCTCAAAAGTACTTTATATTACCGTAGTAACGTTTATCGAAGCTCGTTTGAAAATATGCAGCCGTTCAAAAATTAACCAGGGGGACTATTATGGGATACCCGATGGGGAGAAATCATTGAGAGCGTCCGTATTTGAGTCGGGCCGAGCTCCGGCAGCACCCAGGGCAAAAAGGGGAACCTAATACACAAATATTAAAGATACACCAAATTAAACCAAGTCTACCGGATAACATTGCCGCTACCCGAGTTATTATCTTAAGTTTTCGGTTATTACGCGTAATGTAGGCCTATGCTTTTATCGACCAGGTTCACGTCATCAATCGTGACAAAACAAACGCAATAAAAGATGGGCTAGTCCGATAAAAATACTCAATATATGATTAGATCTGTAATAAACATTGTAATAGGTAGCTAACTTCTCAAGAATGACTCATGATTATCTTCTTCAAGTTTTTTGTATTCTTGCTGGTTAAAAACAAACTAGTCCATAAAATTTTTAATGGTTTTCGGCAAAATACGATGTTACCTAAGTCAGTGGATTTCACCAATAGATTTTTAGCCTCAAAAGTCCCTTATTCGGACCATTAAATATAGTTCCTTCACTGCATTTAAAGAATATTATGTTAAATAATAAACACAATAACAAACAGGAGATAAGCTGAGACCTTTGTCCATGGTAATTCGAGTGAAAGGGACGCAGGACACGTTCCTTATAGGAGTGGGAGGTGCTCTAGCTTTGATACGGTGGGATTGTACAAGTGATAGAGATATCAATCCTGTAGAGATATTCCGCTTGGAAGATATGCGATTTATTTATGGAAAAGCGGATGCTGAAGGAAGTCTTTGGGCTGGTAAGTTGGCAATTCATTAAACCAAATGCAAGGGTCATGCATGGGTAACAATGTGCGTGGATGGATGTGTTTTGTGTTGGGTAACATAATGCTGAGGGAAATGGTGGTATTTGTATTTCTCCTACCCTCCCTCTTTCTTTAATGCTGTCCTGTATCATAAACGGTAACTTTTTATATATGTGGAGGTAAAAGAGACCTATGTTAAAAAAGTTACCTTGTTCCAGTTCAAAATAGCAATACCTCCACTAAAACAAACCTGCTGACTAATCACATTTCAATTTTCCTAAGGTATTGCCTGTGTGCAATGTTTGGTTTTTAATATGCTTTTATAATGTTAGTCTTGGCTGTTGTATCAAAATAAGAATTTGATTCTAGACTCACAGTTGCAATTTCAACCTGTTTGTACCTTAATTGTATATTCTTTCAAGGTTTAAATGTATGCTATTAAGCAACCCAATAAATTACAGACGCTACTAGTTTCAGCTCATACATTGAGCCATCCTCAGGCGGTACTTGTTTTCTTTTCAGGTCGTTTGTTTGCTTTTCATTTGAAGATATTTCTGGTTGTTTCTGTTAAATCTGTCTGCAAGATCATGATGGAGGGTGACAAGCATTATATAGGATTTAGAGTCTAAATGACTGTTTAGACACACTGATTTTAGTAAGTAGTCTATAGACCCTAGGAAGTCCACACTACACGCTGGCCATCTGTGTGCACAAACATATTTTCACCACACTATGATGTTTTCACCACACTATCATGTTTTTGGCTGTATTACATACGTTAATTGGTGGCCGAAAGTTACGTTTTGCTGGCGATGCCAGCTGTCCATAATTTGGGGACCGAGCAGGTTTTTACAGGCCGGGGCCGCAAAATCAGCTGTCCGCTTACTTACTTAAAACATGAATAAAATTTAGAATGCATTTTAAATACATAATCAAAATCCATAGCATTTCAATAGAATTGTTTTATTGTCACCGTTGCCTAGCAACTATATATTTTTATTTTTGCTGATTCCTCAAATTATTTCTTCACATAACCTTAAAGTTTTAGTTGTGTTGACTATCAGTGTGCATTATTATTGTGGTGAATAGTGGTAATAGGGTATAGTGTGGTGAAAAATAGCGTTCGTACCACGGACCGAAATGGTTTTGCGGCTCTCGATCGATTTAAGTTCTCGACTTCGTCTCGAACTTAAAAACTATCTCGAGCCGGCAAAACCTCATTTTCGGCCCTAGGTACGAAATATACTATTTTGGCTGTATTACATACGCTAATTGGTGGCTGAAAGTTACGTTTTGCTGTCCATGCCAGCTGTCATCGTAATTTGGGGACCGAGCAGGTTTTTACAGGCCGGGGCCGCAAAATCAGCTGTCCGCTTACTTACTTAAAACATGAATGCATTTTAAATACACAATCAAAATCCATAGCATTGCAATAGAATTGTGTTATTGTCACCGTTGCCTAGCAACTATTCATTTTTATTTTTGCTGATTCCTCAAATTATTTTTTCACATAACCTAAAAGTTGTAGTTGTGTTGACTATCAGTGTGCATTATTATAGTGGTGAATAGTGGTAATAGGGTAGTGCGGTGAAAAATAGCGTTCGTACCACGGACCGAAATGGTTTTGCAGCTCTCGATCTTCATTTTTATTTTTGCTGATTCCTCAAATTATTTTTTCACATAACCTAAAAGTTGTAGTTGTGTTGACTATCAGTGTGCATTATTATAGTGGTGAATAGTGTTAATAGGGTAGTGTGGTGAAAAATAGCGTTCGTACCACGGACCGAAATGGTTTTGCAGCTCTCGATCGTTTTTAAGTTCGAGACCCTCATTTTCGGCCCTAGGTACGAAATATACTATTTCCTGCCACTGCCTCAAAATTATTGTTATTTGTGTTCACCTTTTTCAGTTCAAATTACCGTTAACAAGGCAGAGTATGGCTTTTTGATGAGCTAAACAAAAATACTTGTGTTTATAGTAGAATCCTACGAGATTTCTTTTCATAATTAATTTTAGATTATATTTTCCCTTACGACTTAAAATATTTGTACCGGTACCTATAATTTTGTCAAAAATTTTCCCACCTTGGCTAATTTTAATGGTTTTATTAGTACAGTAATTAGCTAATCCATTGTTAGGACTTACGAATTTTTAAAATATACAGTTTCAATATAGAGGTGCAGTTGAAAGCACAGTGTATTGAATGGTTTGTAGAGACGAAATCTGTGGTGTAATTTTTGTGTGTGTGGGTTTGTCAAAGATCAAGTGTATCACTCACCGATAATAAACATAGACGAACCTAAAACAAAGGTCAGAGAATCAGTTTGGAAAATATCTAATGACTTCTCTAATTGCATTACAATGTGTGATCAGAGCTGGAACACCAGCTCGACATTTTTCGAGCAAATAACCGAGAAGAGGTTAGGCGGTGAAACCATGGTAGGAAAAACCTATACTGAAGAGAAAAAATTGCATACAAAGTAAACTTTTTATCTTTGGTACTTTCATATTATACCGACCACACCTTAATTGAGTTAGGTTACCAAATTATTTTAGGTTAGGTTATTAGGTTAGTTTAGGTTAGGTTAGGATAGGTTAACATAACCGGAAGATAACATAACTTAACCTAAAGGGGCCCAATTTAGGAGTGGTTGGTTGGTATAGGATCAAAGTACCTTACCTATAATAATAAAGTTCTTTGGCCAGTTTACTTTTGATCGATTCTTTTTGGGACACCCGCTATAGGTAACAGTGTGATTCAAAAGTCCCAGAACGTAGTAATAAATTGTATACTATCATACATAAGGGAATGGCGGGCCCGATCCCTGGGTATCCTACTCACATTAACTAAATCTATTCTATATATATAATAAACTGAGTCAAATGTTGTGAACGGAACTACTCCCTCATTTTTAGACAGATTTTGGTGAAAAAATGATCCTGATCTATAGTTTTGCAAAGTGGTTTTCATTTTTTGAAACATTTATTAGTTTGCGCCGGATCTTCCAACAAAGTTGTATTTCCTCCCATAAGGTTAACATAGAGGAATCTATATTTTTGTATTGGAAAACTTTGTCTGCACTAATTTGAGATAACGACTAGGCTTAGAAGATTGGTAGAGGTGCCTAAAGAAAGGTCTTGGTCTGTAGATGAACCATCAAAATTATAGCCATATGGATAATTTTTCACTATTGGCCACTTTTGCCTATATTTTATCATATTATTCAAGACAGATCATAATAGGTTTACGAGATGATTATCATGCAGGTTTTCAATCATTGGAAAAATGTTAAACTGTGTAATACAATACAAAATAATACAAGTGCAGAAGGGCACGTTGCCCATATGAGCCGTGACAATATTTTGTTGAATTAATCGTGGCTCACCGCAACTGGATTAAGCTTTTAATAACTTTTATAGTTGCAATTCACTGCAGAGTTTACAGAGAGGTTACTTTGATGTATTCATTCAGCTTAGCGAAAACGTAGATACATAGCCTATACAGATATAAACTTGAACCTGTGAATGTTATTAGACTGGCGAAAAGAGCTGTGCATGTTTACTAGCTCTACTCAGCAACAAAACCCATTAAATTTATCCATAAAAAAGTTTACTGAGCAGCAGCCTAAAAAACACTATGTAACTTACCCATATAGTTAAAAAACATAAAAAATGCTCAAACTTGATACTACAAAAAAGTTCAGGCCAGAGCTATTTAAATGCACTTGAATTGTGACATCTATAATTTGGCATATATTTCTCTTAACTCTTTCAAGCACAGTGTTACATTTATGTAACGGACTTTTTGACTTCTTTGCTGCACGGTGTTACATCTTCGTAACGCGAGACATTTTATTTTTTGTAAACGAGACTACTAGCACTATGCATCTGAAAACTTTAAATGTTAGTACTATGGACCTTTGCTAGGTGGCAGCACCATCCATTTGTTTACATTCTGACAAATAACTCCTAGAAAACAGCTGTTCCTGGTGAAAGACTCGTGCCCAAGATCCCGTCTTTATTTTTATGCAAATGAAAGATATGTTGTTATTGCTTATATAATTCCTATGCTGTTTTGTAATGTACTGTTATAATAGCGTCCCTTATAATAGTTTAGAGTCATTAAATCAGTAAACTAGAATGTATTTTGAGTTTTCAAAGTGCGTTACTCAAATGTAACACCATGCAGCTCAGCGTTCCAAATATATCTATCCATAAATAATAAATTAACTATAAAATCTTACAGAAACTTAGTTTTAATTGCGTTTATGTATTTTTATAAATAATATGACATTATAAATAGGTTTTCTCATATTTTTGGCTCGATATTGGTAGTTTTTTCTTATGTAATTACAATTTAGGATAAAGTTTGGGCATATTGGAACATTTTTTTATTGAAACCCGCCTTTAAATTTATGTTTATATTACTTATAAATAAATTGGCCTTTATATTACTTTGTTTTGGCTAAGTAACTTTTACATTTTATAATTTTTTTACATTTATCGGTGTGTGAATTTTCTTTTACTACATTTATTCAGGTCTCTTTATATTGTATATGTGTAAAATATATACTTTCTTATATTGTAATTTGCATTTGTATTTATGATATCCCCAAAGAAACCCTCTAAATAGATTTTTAATATTTAGGGGATTCAATAAAATATGTTCCATTTGCTGCACGGTGTTACATATGTGTAAATCCCTTTTATCACTATCTGATAACAAAAAAAATATTAATGCATTTTTATATAGCCTTAAAAACTTAGTATGGTTCTAAACACAAATTATAAAGTATTTTTAAACATTTCAACAACAACAAAATTCCGTGCAGGTTGGGGTCACCTGACACCTGTATTTTCCGTGCTGGAAAGAGTTCCAACAGATTATTCATCTGCAGAAGAAGTTTGTTGTGCTCTTATTGTGTCTAATAACATCCAAACACAGAAACCTTAGCTAAAATAGTACCTATCTTGACGGATGATTTGCAGTGGAA